TACGGATGAATCAGATACCAAAGTATTCACATTAAAAAGAACTACCATGTTTCTGGCATAGCCAGAAAAAAAGTCTGGAACATTAATGATTACTGTAAAAATAGGAAATGCATAAAGGCTAAAGTTTAGGTTTACTTTTGGAAACAAATGCCAAATTTGTGTTGTTGGTTTAAATGAAGGATTATCCTTTTGAGTACAAGTCCACTCATAAGTGGTTCGTAATACAGAATCAATATTTCTATGTCAAACAGCAGTCTTTTCTATGGTCCAATGTCTGTGTTCTCTGTATGTGTCATCCACTTCCCATTACTGCTCAGAGCTGAAGAAGTCATTTCCACGCATGGAAAAGCATAGACAAGCCATTGTAAGCGCTGAACCCTATTTGCATTCCAGTGCTACCCAAGGACTTGGACAGACAATATGTATGTTGTTAATGTTTGAACAGAGAATGATACATGACAGAAATGCTATGCTAATTCACCAAATGATTATGGAAATTTATCTTGAAAATAATCATTTCATTGTTTAATAACAAGGTTCGTTTCTGTTTCTAAAGCTGTACTCCCTTCCTCTAATTGTTTCGGAGAAGAAGTGTTTGAATTGAAGCCTGACAACACAGCTGATGGAGGAACTGTGCTCTTGTTTAATAATGTCATTATTGTCAGAGGTTTAACTATACACATCAGAAACTATTTGAAAACATTGAAATTAAATTAAGTTTTGTGAACTTACAAACAGTAAATCCATAATCTATTGTAGCTAAATTAGGAATTTGTAAATTGGTGAAAACTTAATGGTTTAATCAATGGCTTCCATATTGTTTTACAATCCTTATACTTAAAGACTTGTATAATAAGAGGCAGATGTTAAAGGTCATTCTAGATTGATTTTCATATGAAAATAAACTTTTTATTTTCTCTGGCTTGAAAATAATTTATTTGAAATCATTGCAGTTTCAGTTTGGCCAAATGATTATCAAGATGATAATTTTCCATGGGAAATTCTAATGAACTTTTTAATATAAATTTAAGAAGGTCACGTTTAATGGCACACAATATCTAGAAGTTCAAGAGAAATACCTGCAACTCACAACTGGCAACCCACTGAAGCTAAGCAGGTGTGAACCTGGTCTCATGGGAAAGTGAAGGTTGCTGCTGGAAGAGGTGTTAGTGGGAACAGTAGAGAGAGCTCACTATGCAGTCTGTGTGGGTCCTAATGCCCCTGAATACTGATGGGGACACTGTATTGTTATTAAAAAGGCACCTTCTTCGAATAAGATGTAAAAGTCCTGACTCCGTGGTCATTAAAAATCTTGGATGTTTCTCGAACAGAGTAGGGGTGTTACCCTGCTATCCTGGCCAAATTTCCCCTTGGCTTTATGACTTAATCACTCTCTGTTCTCCTCCTACTGGGGCACTTTGGCTGCCGTTGCATCATCTAGGTCAGTGGTTCTCAAACTGTGGTACGTGTACCGGCAGTGGTACGTGGCGTGCCGCCAAGTGGTACGCCAAATGACCCTGGAACTGTGTCGTGTGTGTTGAAAAATCGGGACGGGTGTCGAATACGCAGCCTACGTACTACGATACAGTGCGTGCTAATACTTCAGTGGACACAAGAGATACTCTGTAATTCTATACCACTCTATAGGAATGCGTGCTACGGATGCAAATGACCAATTGTATTTAAAAAAAGCTACTGTATCTCCAGCAAATAGGGAGAAAGGAGAATGTGCGTGATTTTGGAACAATGCTAACGTGTAAACACAGGAATGCATAGAAATACGTGCTACGAACGCAGGTAATCTTGTGAGCACACGAAAGCGTGATAACAGAAAAATATTTAAGAACTGTTCTAATTTGGGAAAAATACACCGAGTGTCTGTGTTTCGCTCCCATGCGCATGAAATAAAAACTTTAAATAAGTACGGAAATAAAAATGGAAATGCGGAAAAATGCAAGCTTGCGGATTGCTAAAGCAGGTAAGCTACACTATTTTTGAAGAACCTTATTTACCGTTGGCAAAAGAGCTGACACGTATTATGTGTAGAGAAAAGGCTGCTAAACAGCTCGACCTGCTGCCCCCCCCCCTGAAAGACACAGTCATTCATAGAATTATTGAAATGAAGAATTATATCAAAAGTACACTGATAGAGCGCGTTAAGATGAGCAGATGTTTTTCACTGCAATTAGATGAGTCTGTAGTCGATTTGGCCAATTTGCTCGTTTACGTTAGATACGAGTTTGAGGGCATGTCCCATGAAGACTTTCTGTTCTGTAAACCGCTACCAACAGGAACTACAGGAGAGCACATATTTCAGCTTCTGAATGAATTTATCGAAGAGAATGGCCTCGACTGGATAAAATGCGTCTGAGTTTGTACAGACGGTGCTAGAGCAATGACAAGCCGACATAACGGTGTAGTTGCACGAATTAGAGAGGTTGCTCCAGAAATTAATGTACGCATTACAACATCTACCGCGAGATCTTTGCCGTCAAGAAAATGCCTGACGATTTAATATCTGTTAGACTCCGTTGTGAATTGTATCAAGGCTCGAAAAATTAATTCACATCTGCTTTGCTCAACTAAACAGGCTCACCCCTCTCACTGAAATGGTGCTTTTTTATTAGTTGTTGTTAATGTTTTTTTCTGTAAAACACTTTGAGAAGCCACCTTTAAAGGCGCTATATCAAATTAAGTTTATTATTATAATATTAATTATATGTATGCGTGAGTGTGTGCACGCGCGCTCATGTTGGTCATTGAGAATTTCTGGGGTTCCTATGAGAAGATGACTTGTAGGTGGTACTTGGACGCTTTGGTTGGATTAGGGGTGGTACTTGGTCCAAAAAGTTTGAGAACCACTGATCTAGGTGGTGCTACAAATTGGTGGTAATGGAGGAGAGTCTCCATTATCTGTAAAATGTTTTGAGTGGAGTGTCCAGAAAAGCGCTATATAAGTATAAGGAATTATTATTATTATTATTATTATTATTATTATTATTATTATTATTATTATTATTACTTCCAGAAATCTACAGTAGTTCACCTGTAGACTTTTTTTTCTGTTTTAGGGAGGTTAGGTAGGTGGAAAAATCAGTCTACTAATTTTTATAGTATCTTTTGAGAGAAACTAAATAGCAGTTACTTGAACGACACAGAATAGGGCATAATAAAGTTTCTTAATATAGATTTTCTTTTGCTGTTGCTATGCATCACATTTCATTTGGAGAAATAAATGCCCTTAGCAACACAAATGACATTGAAGAGTGAAACAGTGAAAGCTACAGTTAATGAAACCAGATTACCAAGGTAAATAAGATTATAGTCTCTTATTTACTGTTTAATTTGGGACATTGTTAAAAACACTACATTAGTGCAGTTCTGTTAAAAAAATAATGTAATTATTTGAAAATAATGTTCAGGCGGCACGGTGGTACAGTGGTCCTGGGGCTGTGCGTTTTTTCCAGGCCTGGGTGCTATCTGTGTAGAGTATGTATGTGTTCCCATTGAAGGTGTCCCCTGCTCTGGCTACCCCGGTGCCCCTGTTCTGGTTTAAGATATGGCTAGAAAGTGGATGAATGGGTGATGGATGGATGGAAATAATCTAAATGGCAAAAGCAGAAACAATTATACACGCTTAACTAAACCTACAACAGACATTATTGTCCAGTTGCAGCTATACTGTATGTAGGGTGTCCATGCTTAATGAGTTTGCTTTTTTAAAATTTGAAGTTGGAAATTGCTTGAGGTCTCTTTGCTGACTGTATCCCTGTCTTTTCTACAGAAACACTTCGGATGAACTGCAAAATAAAAATTTACTAGCAGCCACATGTTTTAAAGACCTGCCTTGTGTCTGCTGACCTCACCCCCGCCCACTATTCCTTTCCCCCTCGTCTTTCTGCTCACGGTGGAGATATCGGCAGAAGTCCCGATAAAAGCCTTACAGGAGAGAAAGCTTTTTGTCCATCAAATTGTCGGAATTGATTGACAAAACCAGTGGCTATACCTTTTGTACCTGCTTATAATGAACAGTTAACGCATTGTTCTTTGTTTTGTGAGACAGAACAGGGCAAAGGGACATGTTCTGTGTTAGAAGAAAGAAGGAAGTTTTTCTTGTTAATTCAGACTCAGGTCCTTCTGTGTCGTGAATGTATATTTAATTTCCACTGGTCACGTCAGGTTTATTATGTTTACTGGGACCAGTAAGCATAATAATCATGTCTGGCACATGCTTCTGTCTCAGTCTTTTTTAGGCTGTTGGATCGCTGCCTAGAAAACTGCTGCAATAAGTGTTTGGATATTCCTCCCATCATGCATAACTTCGCTTGGGAGGCTGACCCTTGTTTTATTCTGCAACGGCTCACTACATTATGCTGTTTTATTGTACAGGGCAAGCACTGTACTATGCTTTCTATGTTGTATACTGAAATGTTGCAATCTTAACACAATGTAACATAGGAACAATAAAGAATGACTTTTAACCTCTTGCTGGGTAGATAAAAAAATCCTTAATAAGCGTGATTCTCAGAGAAACGGATGGCAAAACATGAGGATTTAATGCAAAGAAAAAAAAGGTTTTTGGTCTGTCCCGCATACCAGAGATTATATTTTCCAAGGCCGTTTTTATTTAAATCTAAACTGTTTAAACATGATTCAAGAGGAATTCACATCTAGAAATACTGTCATATTGTATTATTCTTTAAATTTTGCTGTTTTGCTTCGTTCTACTGTAGTTTTGCTTGGATCATGAGAAGATACTTCATAATTGATTCAATTAATACATTTGATATTAGAATAGAACAAAGCAATTCTGTTAAAATATTTGTACTTAATTGTCTTACATTAGATTCAGCATTATTATTGTGACAGCTTTCCAAAACCGTTGGAATACAGTTGGCTTTATGAATTTACTGTGCTGATAGCAAACAATCTATACTCCGTCATTTAAAAAATACTCTTTAAAATTTAATGTTTACTTTTTTCTCTTCTGCTCTTAACAGATCTCTGACAGAAAGTGCCTTTTCAAACAACATCCCTACTTGAAGCTGCTTGGACTGTCTGTGTGTCTCTTTAATGCCTGCTCTCCCTCATTAAGACGGTCCCCCACGCACGAGCTGTGACAGAAGATACCTCAACTGCAACAATTTGCCCTGCATTTCATTTCAGCCTGGCTCCAGCATTTCAAAAGAAGTGGAAAGATTTACTGCGAGGAGGAAGAGGCTGCCAAAGCACAAAGAGCTGACTTCGTTTCAAAATTTAATCAATACCAGCAAGCAGTCTGCACACAATTAATATTCTATCAAGGAGTGCCATTGCATTGAAATAACTTTATTTAGAGCGTTTGTGTCAGCGGAACAATCAAGAAACTCGGACAGGCTTGTCAACTCAGCGTGCCACTGAGCATGTACCTTTTTGCTGCCAGAAGCTTACAATTGGGACAAACTGATTGATGAGTGACTGCTTGCTGATAAATCGTCTGTTCCCCATGCTGCGGCTGTGTGGGTGTATCAGTCTACCGTCTGTGTTTGGGGACCTTAGGAAAAACCTTGGCCAAAAGTTATATTGAACTTTCTTTTGCTCTTAGCTTCGACAGTGTTTTGTAAGTAGACTTTTCATCTAATTTATTGCTTTTTTTTAAAGCAAAACACAGTTTTCACCCGTCAATCCTCTGTTTCAGTTTTAAGAGTTTGGTATGGCTTTAAACATTACTTCAATACGAGATACAAAATGGCTGACACTGGAAGTGTGCCGACAGTTTCAGAGGGGAACTTGCTCACGTCCTGATGAGGAATGCAAATTTGCACACCCACCCAAGAGCTGCCAGGTGGAAAATGGAAGAGTTATTGCCTGTTTTGACTCACTAAAGGTAAGGAATGTCAAACGCTGTTTTTATTTTTGAAACTCATTGATACTTCGAGTATTTTCGAAATGATTCAGAGAAATTGGCAAGGGCCTAACAGATAAAATCATGGGTAGTCTGACCTTGCTGAAGCTGTTTCCAGCTCTTCACTGCGGCTTGGAACTCGAAAGCAGTAATGAAAATATGCTGCCAAAAATGAATGAGGAGACCAGTATAGTGCTTAGCTCTATTTTTTGCATAATCTCATTGGTAAAGAGCTTTTTTTCTGTGTCTGTATACTACCTTTTTAAATTGATTTTTTTGTTTACTTGTATTCTTGTTTTAATGCGAAAAGCAATATCAACCAACACTATGACTTTTGTAAATATTTGAACTATGTTTAAGAAGTATTTAGTATGATTTAATATGCTTGAGAAAGCATCATTTCAACAGGCTAACAACGTAATGGACAAAACATATGACTACTCATTATCTATCAAATGTTTTTGTATGAGTCCATTTCTGACAAAAATGTGAATGCTTTGTTTTGTTTTCAAGGTTGTCTATCAAGGTTAGCAAAGTACAGCCTTAAGAAAGGAAATGTACAGAAGCTCTGTAAATATTAGAGACAGTTACAGTCATTTCAGATTCATTCTTAGGACTAGACTGTGTAGACGTCAGATATTTCTCTTCTATGTTAAATGAGGAGTTCCAGATAAACTGCCTCACATCCATAAATATGTGGTTTATGTCATTAAGAGATAGTAGCTGTTTAGTGATGGTAAAGCAGCAATCCCATATTTCTGAAGGTTATGGTAAGAGCTGTTGAAAGGGAATCTAATTGACAATTGTTGGAACATTGTCTTGGACAATTAGTAATACTGGCAGCTAGTACCTTGAAAGACACATATATCACATTTCCATAACCCAGGACAGTATGATGTACCACATAGCCATGATAATTCATATATAGCTTCTTTACTGAATTTATTAACTATTCATTACCATATGTCTTCAGTTATACATGTTTCACTGAAAAGGAGTCTGGAATAGAGTCATCATTGCAGAGCTGTGCTTCATGTAATGTGAACTGAACTTGTATTGCAAACTTCTGTCCGTTAAAGACATTTTTAAAGTGCCAATGTATCAAGGAAGATAAACACAGCAGTGCAATGAATGTGATTTGTTAGGGTAAATAGGTAGCTTACATTAGTGTTAGGTGAAAGTATCCACAAAGGAACAGTTATGTTTAAACATCAGGAAAAAGGTCAGTTTCAATCTGTGTGTAATGGGTTTGAACTTTGACATTCTGGTCACCTTAAATAATCTTAGTTAAAGAATCGTATGTGCAAGCATGCTTATATACAGAACTGTTTCTGCTGTTGCAAATTGTAGTCACTAGTCATCTACCAGAAGACCATGAATACTTTATTTTTGCAGTGACCTACTCTGCCACACATTAGCAGTAGGCTTTGGTTACAGCTTCACCTCTTGGATCATTGTCCTGTTAACTGCTGGTGGCTAGGATTCTTGAATGGGTATCAAGAACTGTTTAGTCAGATCTGCACCCTTTCAACAGTATTCTACCCTCCGGTATATTCAGCCTTGGCTACCTTTTCCACACGCGTTTTTGAATATGTAGTGTCGCTTGGATATACATTCAGACACATGCTGTTGAACATATCTGAAACATTCCCTTGGAAAACTGACTTCTTGTGTTAGTCCTTCTGTGTGTAGCTGTCGGAGCATCTGGTGATTGAGTGCCATGTTGTTGTTGCTGCTTGGCTGTGTCAAGAAACAGTGACCACTTAATAGTTTAATGTCTGCCTGCAACTGTGCTGTGTCATCCTTCCTGTTAACCTTGATGACCACTAACTACACTTAATTACCCTCAAAATGTGCACTTTATAAAAGCTGTCCCACAACATTATCAGTAAATGTTTTCTGATCTGAAGGAGACCTTCTGAATCAAAGCTTTGAAAGCACTACAGATCATCCAGAAACACATTTATTTGGGGTCAAAAATATGCATTGTATGAATTCCATGAGAAAGTAAAATTGTAAAAGACAACATTAAATGCTTATCTTGCGTCATATTCTTTCTTATATTTGCAGCCAAATAATGTTTGCCTTCAGAGTGTCCCTGATTTTGTTTCTTGTCATGATCTCCTTTTAACATCTCCAGTCTTCGATTCAGCCTTTTTCTTGGGGGGGGAAACCCATTGCCTTTTCCTTCTATATCCTGGCTCCTGTGAATAGGTAATAAAAGGGTATGATTTCCTGATCCAAAGAACAAGTCTTAAACCTTACCCAGCAGTAGACTGGGTGCCACAATGTGCACTTCATAACGAGAGCAAATAACTACAGAACAGTTCTCGTTTTCATTTAGTGTTTCATTGAGTGTAAGGGAGGGTTTAAAGAAAAATCAAATAAGAACATAGTATTCCTTAGTAGAGTTTTTTCCACAAGTCAATAGTCAAATAGTATTGGGAGTGTTTTTCTGGCGCTGGCTGTTGAGGAAGGAGAGCTGGAGATCTTTATCTGGCCGGCCATTTAACATTGTCAGATTATTTTTCTGCAGTTTTTTGTCAGTGCAGGGCTAAGTCCGTGAAGTTTAAAGTGGTCAATTCCAAAATCTTTTTTCAAATCCTTCCACAATTCCAATTCTTTTTTCAAGTGAGTTCCTAAACTGATGATGGCAAGCTGTTGTATAAGCAGTGTACAAAAAAATGGAAACGCCAATTGTACAGTTACTGAATAAGCTGTTGGGCCACCACTTAAAGCCAGTAAAGTCTGTATGTGCTGCCTATCTGTGTAATAATAATTATTATTATCATTATCATTATCATTATTAATAATAATAATATTCCTTGTGGGGAGCACAATAGAGTAATAAAGCTAATTCATAGATGGGGATTATTAGGAGACAATGACTGGTAATGGCTGGGAGAAATTTGTTAAGGACAGTGTGATAACACCCCTACTATTTCCAGCATCTTGGAAGACACCCCTACTGGCAGAAAAGAAACATGCAACATGAGGTGACAGTGATAACCCAGTTTCATCTGAGATGCAATTAGCATTGAACTAAAGTGTGAGCGTGGTTTGGGACACACAATGTTACAGAGCCACCAGCACATTTCACTGAGCACTCAGGAGTGGACTTCTTTAGGTTAGCCCCACAAATGCACCCATCCATTTGTGGAGAACATGATGAAAGATGATTTATCTGACCACATCGCATTTCTCCACTTCTTAGTAGAACAAATAAAACATTTTGACTGAAGGAGAACACCTGAAGGTTTTTTACTTTTCAGCACAGAATTTCACTCTGTTCCTTTGCATTTCACACACTGACACAGCTCAAACCTCTTGTTTGTTGACGACTACTCATGAAAAAATAACATCTAGCTCAATAATTCAGCACTGAAACTAAGCATGCACTGTTAGGAAATGGGTTTTCTGAAGGTCAGCCAGATCGCCTCATGTCATGAGATGTGGTGACTTCCCTAGGGAAACCTTGACTGTTTGTTTTGAAAGCTGCTGTGTAAATATTCCAAAATTTGTTTTTGCTGTTTTGTTAAAAACAGTACTTTGCTCTGTGTACAGCTTGGTCTATGAACCTAATTGTACTTTAGTTTCCATTTGGTTGTATCCAAGTGAATGTTGGGAGTATCAATCAGGTATTGCACTGGTCAAAATAGTAAATCAGTAGTCCAGCACTGATGGTTCAAAAAACGAACCAGTACAAAAGGACTTGTACTTTGTATTTGTACTCTGTGTAATTAAGACTGAGACACCAAAATTAAGATTTCAGAAAAAAAAAATCTAAATTTATTTTGATTATGTAACATTCTTCTATTTTTTTTTAAATCCACAATATTGCTTTGTTTATTTTATCTTTTAATAATATTAAAAACATTTTTGTTGTGTGGTGCATTGCTTTCTTAAATTGTGCTTATTGTAATGTTCTCTATTCGGAAAGGTCCACTCCTTCATCAAGCTTTTGTCAAATTGCATGGTGTTGTTCAGAAGCAGAGAAAACTGACAATACATAAACTAAAATAAAACTAAACACTTAATCAAAGAATGGTTGTGGTATGTTTTTCTCACAGAAAATTGAGAGCTGCTTTAAAAATGGACAGAAGTCCCTGACAGCTGTTTTTATTAGAACTATCATGTGACTTTTTCAGAATGGGGTGGTTGGGTTGGACAGCGCGGTGATGATACTTATAAATCCGAGCAGCAAGGTCTGTGTGTGGAAGAGAGCTCTTTTTTGTTGTGACAGCTAATAGAATTAGTGGGGAGAGCGTATCTGGCTGGAGCACATACAAATACCAGAGTCATGTGATGATACCAGGTTGCTGTTTGCTGAATGGCCTGTTGTGTTTCTTAATGCCCTTTGCTTTTCCTCAAGTGTCCTCTGTGTTACTGACACGTCCTCTGTGACTTATCTCTGTGCCTCATCACTTGAGCAGGGGAGAGCTTCGCTGATAAGCCCGAGTGGGTGCAGGATTTGCTGAAAAGCAGAAGTGCCCAAGAACAGAGATATTTTTTTTCTTAAATCCATTTGCTCGTACTCTCCTGCTGCTTGAGTGGCCTTAAAAAACTCTCCGCGGCTTTAGATTTGAAGCAAATTTTAATACCCTTGCATTCTAAGACATTCGTCCTGCATTTGATTTTTTAAGCAGTGTCATTTGTGAGGGTGATTTAATTTAACTGGAATTTCAGTGCTAAAACACCCAAGCTGACATCAGTTCCTCAGAAGCTGTGAGACTGCACTTAAATCCTGGTTTTCAGTCGCCATACCTTAAAAAGAGGTTTTGAAAAGTTCTGAAAGGGTTTGCTTCAGCTTTTATTTTCTAAGCACTTTCTGTATTTTTCTACTTTTTTGTATAATAGAGAACTCTTGTATAATTATGATAATAACTAATATACAATGCACATTTTCTTTCAATAATACACACCTCTAGGAATTATTTTAAATAAAAAAGAAGCCGCACAATTTTTGACAAAAAAAGACAGAA